CGCACACGCACACGCACACGCACACGCACACGCACACGCACACGCACACGCACACGCACACGCACACGCACACGCACACGCACACGCACACGCACACGCACACGCACACACACACACACACCCACACACACACACACACTCGCACATGGCGTGTGGAGTTCGCGGGGAGGGGGAGGGGGAGTGGGGGTCTCGGGGCTGGGCATGGGTAGGGTTTGGCGATGTGGCGGGGCCAAGTCCACCAAAATGTTTTAAATTCAAAAACATTGGACTACATAGTGCAACAGACAATCTTTCCCAAACAATGAGGCAACTTTTTGCATTGCGTACTTATGCACAACTTGTGGTAGAGCTTGTGAAGCCCAACTCTTCTTGGTGTTGTGCATGTTGTGCTGGGGGGAGGATCTCTGATTTTTACTGGTCAACCTCTGGGGAATTGCGGCAGCCACTGGGATCCCTCGCGGGTCCATCGACATGACCCAGGAACATGGAAAAAACATGACCACCAGATCCTCTCAGGTTTGCTTTCAGGAAGCCATGCGGATGGTCCGACAGAACCGGCTCTGAGACTGAGGTCTGGGTCATCCTCTCCTTCTCGATCTCCAGCGTGCTGTGGTTCGCCATGGTGGTGGTCATCTACCCGGAGCAAATGCTTACCGCGCTGGCCTGCGCAGGCGGCTTCTTCGCCCTCTTCGCCACCATGATCAACGGCCTCAACAACACCAAGGCGTCAGGGGCCAATATGGGTATAGTATGGGTCAAAATTAAACCACCAGGGGACCGCAGGTTTTGGTCCCTGTTTCCATTTACCAGGGATCCATGTTGGGTACCTTTTTTTACCCACACCCATATTGTGAGTAATGTACCAGACCTGGAATGGCGCCTTTTTGTAGCTGTCTTTTGGAGGGAGGTTCCCTTTCAAATGGTAACCCAGGATAGAGAAATGCCTGGTTGATTCATAGGATCTTACTTCCAATCAATCCGGAGCAAGCTAAATCCGAGGAATTCCCCGTAAATGCATTAATTCCCCACTAAGAGGGAAACGATCCTAACGGTACGGTCCTCTGGATAACTCGAAGTCGACATTCATAAACCCTTTTTTCTATCTTTAGATCTTTTTAATGGGCATTCGTTTCTTTGACTCAAGTGCACCTGATTTAGCTGCCCGTTGAATCCTTCTTCTGAGAAATGTATCCCTCCAAGAAAAGGTCTTCCCTGTTTGAGATGTTTGCCCTCCAACACGATGTCCGTAAAGTTATTCTTGAAAACTGCAGCCGTTTTGGGCTGGGCTGTGTTATCGAACGGGTACCTGTTTGGTTTTCGGGCGTGCTTTGTTCCGCTCCGGAATTACTCGTTTCAGTTGTCGTTTCCAGCCTTGTTCTGCCTTCTCTTTCGTTCTTTGCCCTTTGTGCTTCCTTTTTTTTCAGGTGGTCACTTCAGGGACTCCTAGCCCTAATTCCAAGCAATTCTGCGGCGCCTGGACTTGTTAGGTAAGCTGTACATCACTCCCGGTATGCAATCAGCCGCACTTCAAACCTGCAACTGGTGCCCTCAGAACCCCCTCCAATCCCCCCTCCCCCGCGGGAACGATTCGGGCGGTGCGAGAGGACGAGCTGGAGCGCTCGCTACGGGAGGAGATCCCGGAAGTGTTGGAGCTGGCGCCCCGGCGCTGTTCCGCGCGTCTGGGATGGGGCCTTTTTGTTGGGGTCATGGGTCCTGGTCTGGTTCTTTGCGGCTTTGGTTGTGGCAACACTGTCTCATGTTCAAATGGCTGGTCTAGACATAGTGTTCCTCAAGTATTCTCTGGAGCTGGAAACCAAGTCAACAATCAGCAAATTTGATGGCGAGCTCAACTGGAGGTAAAACGAGCGAAAACCCATGAAGGTTCTTGACTTGGAGATCCCTTATTTCCGTCATGACATCAGTGGACTTTCAGCTGGGTGCCCTCGAATAGCGAAGACAGCCAGATCTGGTGCAGACGGATCGGCTCCTGTGCGTTTGCGCGACTCAGGAGAACCTCCAAATTTCCTGCGCGGAGCATGGATACCGTAGCCCATTGGTCCGGTGGCTTTGTTGGAGGTATGACGCCCCGTGTTCAAGTCCCAGGAACGCGCAGTCCTTAGGCCTTGTGGTTTCTCTAACCTACCATTCGTCCGTTTTTTGGACGACCCTTTGGGTGGTATCGGTCAAAACCCCCCATCATCCTTTGAAGTCCCGGGGACGGCCCAAATTTGGATTCATCTAGGGTTTGACCAAATGCCAAACTGGGGACATGCATGACAGCGCCTACCCGGGGCGGCACTCTCACCCGTGATTGAGGTGCCTTTCTTGGTGGCTCAATTTGTTGCTTCAAGCTTGTGAGTTCTGGCATTTTCCTCAGATACCAAACTTCTATCATCTACTGTAGTCTGGGAGACTTCCAAGCATACCAAGTTCAAGGCTAAGCATCTTAAATAGAACGCATGTGGTGTAATGGTATTACTGCAGTGCGACCCGAGACGACCCAACATAGAAGCACCAAGGGCTGACAGAAAAGAAGCCCTTCGGTTTCGCATTGAACACACAGTACCCTCACAATGAGAACACCCAGGGCGAACCCCCCAAACAAGAGATGTAGCAGGATGCCTTGAGTATGTCAGCAACCACATCCGATCACTAAACAACTTGGTAAAATACTGCATATTTCCAAACAACCTTTCCGCAAAATGCCGCAAATTACCTGGGGTTGTCCAAAGTATGGACGGTTTTAAGACTCTAGTGTGCCTTTGAAAGGAGATCCCACGCAGGCCCCTCAATTTGACCACCTCCCCATGTGGTCTCGATTTCGGGTTTTTGTGATGAAATCCGAGGTGTGCGATACCTTCCTGGACCAATACGACAAGACCTCCTCGGGCCGGGGCAAGGCGGTGATCAACCAGTACCGCAAGCTCGAGGAAGAGCTCGCAGAGCCCCTTGCAGCGAAATCGCGAAGTCCACACCCGCTGATGCGCCCCAAAGAACTTGCGAGTGCGACAGGTGGGGAATGAGAATTGGAATTTGTAAGAAAAACCCATCCAACTGGGTGGTTTCCTTGAAGGGGGCCCCCAGGTTCATTCCATTTCTCATCTACCTATCAGCAAGAGAAAGGCCACTGAGGCGCGCTTTCTCCCATGTATCACATGAGAGGCCTTCAATAGTTGTAGTTGGTACTGGAAGCCGTTTCTAGCACGGTAGGACCAGTCGATCGTGGGCGCTGACTTTTTTTTCTTAGCTTGGCAGCTCACGAACCAGGATACCTCACATGTTGGATCAATCACCCAGATAAAACAAGCGATTCCACCCATCATAAACCCCCTGCTTGCGGTATTGGTGGATATAAGTCCATGATTGCTTCAGTATTGCTCTAGTACTTGTTTTTCCCCGCCACCAGACGGACAGGCTTATGTTTCGTCTGCCGAGAAAAAACATTTGTCGGTATTCCTCACCCTGTCCTTGTTTCAGAAACGGACATAGTTCGCGATTTGTTTGGACAGCCTGGCGATGAATTAATCGCTCGTCAGCATCAAGGAAGACGGCGGAGTATGTCAAGGGCCGGCTCAAGGGCGTCTCCAAGCTGCAGGACGTGAGTGAGGCTCTTCAGGTGAGTGGTCCAAAAGCAGGCCAGCCCTGTAATACTGTGGATGGACGAAATCCTGCACCACTTTGAAACCATGGCAAACCATTATTTGTTGGTATTTACAGTGGAATCATCATTCCAGGCTTTGTTTGGTGGTGCAGGATTTCGTCCATCCACAGTAACCCTTCGGTTTATGAACGGGGGTTTAGTTTGTGTTGAGATTGACAACGCCACACCCCAAAATGTGACCAATAGATATTTCCGGGTCCTGGGCAACGTGACTGTTCATGGGTCTGATTTGGGTGGGCACCACAAGCTTGGTGGAGCAGGCTTCGAACAACCGCGTTGCAGGGTTTGCCCATGGCTTACCCTCGAACAGATGCTTGCCTTTCGGCTTCCCCTTCAATGCCAAAGCAGGTCACGAGTTTGAAAAGACCAAGTGCTCCTAAACGACTACATCAGGAGCACAGTTGAGAAGCCAACAAAGCTGAAGTCGAGTGCTGAGCCTTGAGGGCCTTGCCAAAACCAACTGTCAACACTGTTCTTGCAAGACGATGGCCACAGGTTCCCATCTGCCGACTGCTCATAAGCAGGCCCCTTAATGAAATTGGGAGAGTCTGGGGTTGAGCAGTTCCAAAATCAGAACAACGGTAGATTGTAGGTTCATGTAGTGGTCGCAGGGATCTTGATGAATATGAGGTGGCATGAAGAGCGCTTTCTTTAAATCGCATACTCCCACCGTTTGAGGACCCCAATCACGCCACACACGCAGCCACCTGGGGAAAACTAAAACAGACTAAAACTGAAGGTGTGTGTCTGTGTGTGTGTGTGTTTTTTGGGGTGGGTGGGGGGTAGGAGCAGTTTATGATTGACTAGTTGTTCTAGAAAGGCGCTCTCTTGCGCAAATGTGTCCACCTCGCCGGAGAATGTTACAAGTACACAGGCTTACCAGAGACCTTCCGGCCTTTGGAGGCCACTTGCTTGGGAATGCGGAAAGGTCTTTGTTCTTAGCTGGATTGTAGCTGGAAGAACCCCGCCACCCCCAAGCACACTGACACTGATGCGCACGTTTTGCTTCGCAGGACGTGGTGGGATCTGCCAAGGCGCCGAAGGAAGTGCTTGGGCCGCTCGCAAGCGATCCATTCGCCTGTTGGACTTCCGGGCCTGAACCAAATTTGCCTGGGGTCCGCTTGACGCTTCAGCATCGGAAGTCGCAACGTTCAATTTGCTCAGAGGCGTTTGATGGTCGGTAGCTTGTGTGACCATGACAACGAACCAAATGCCCACCAGCAAGGGGGGGTTGGTGATCGGAAGGGCCCACAAAGTTTCAAGGAACCCTTCCAAGAGCCGTTTCTAAGAAGCCTCTCACGAGCGTAGCGGGTTTCCATACATGCTAGGTAACATGTTTGTAGAATTGCTCCCACAGCCATGCGCTCAAGATGTAGTCACGCGCTCCGTTGGACGGACCTCGCCCACCTTCAGCGCCCGAGCAAAATATTGTTTGCGCAAATTCTGACGGGCTGAGCTTCTCAACTTAAACAACTTAAAGGGCGTTAAAGGGTCATTCCGCATGTGGACGCCTTTGGGCATCAATTTCATTTTAAGGATTGCTGGCAGAATCTGAATACAACGTCGCCCCAAGGAAAACCATGAGGCGCTATCTTGCTTCTCTGCTGCGGCTTGTATTGTGAGCATGCGCGGGGGTATCCCCCAGTTCCCCAGTTCCATGGCTTGTGGGCAGAGGAACTCCTCTTGGAGCTTTGGGGATTGGTGTCTTTCCGTCATCCCAGGTCTCTTTTCAACCGCGCCCTGGTGAAAAGCCGGGGCTGGCCCGCCATCTCTGAGCAAGAGCCCCTCGGACAGGTTGGGTAGGGTTTCCATCTTTCTTCTATACAAGATTACCTTGAATATTTCCCCTTGTAGTCGTGTCAAACATCACCTTTCAGGGAAATTTAAAAGTGAGATTCCTTTTGGTGGGGTGATGTTTAGGGGGAAATATCGATGGGACCATGTCGAACCCATAGGTCGCTGGTGGGAAATTCAACCGCCTCTGGGTTGGTTGCAACCAGGAGCCTCCGTGCTGGAAGCCAAAAGGGGACGGGCAATTGCCTTTATTTGTCCAGACCCTATTGGGAGGGGGGGGGGTGGGCAAGCCAAGTAAGCAAACCCAAACATGCGTGGCCCATGCGTGGCGCCACCTCGCTGGAACACATGAATGAGTCCTGAATGAGGGCGTTCGAGCAAGCATCTTTTTTTTTCAGCATCGGGCCGTTGAAAAGAAATGAAGTGGATGTTTGAATGGGAAAGCTCCCCATGCAGAGGGAGCCACTGAGTTACGGAGGCCCCGGTGTTGTAAGCCAAGCGCCCGCAGCCCAGGGCGGGGAAGGAGACGAAGGATGACAAGGGCGTGGAGACCACCGACTCGGTGCTCGAGTCCCTAGGCGGGACCCAGAATCGAGCACCCCGATCCTGATCTTTTTTGGATGGGGCGCAGGAAAAATGAAGGGAGGGCACTATGCCCCAAAAAAAGGGGATGCTGAAGTTTGGATTTTCCGTTTGTTTCTATTTGCAACCACCACAAAAAGGAAACCCTCAAACAAGACGCACACAGAAAAGTCACTATTTGCCCCTTCGCAGGGCCACCTCTCGTAATTGCCTGGAGGCCTGCCACAGGAAGACACTACAGTGATGCCGTACCTGGACTTGCGGATGCGCTTAGAAGACAAGGATGCGGCGGGGTTCCGCATTTTGTCCTAGGTCCTAGGTGTCCCTCGAGATTCAACCAGCTCCAAACTTGGCTTTGCGTTTCGTGGTGGGCGTGCCACCTTCTTGTAGACTTGCCGAACGGCCGGGCATGAGTAGACCTTTGGTTTCTGTCGCTGGGGGCTGTTGTTCCAACCGAGAGTCTGTCTTGGGGCATCCCCTTTCTGAAGAACAAGGGTGTCCTTTTGGGCTTTTTCTGGCAAATGGCTTCAACTTTTCATCATTAGGCGACGGCGACGATGATGATTATGACGATGAGGGTGACGATGAGGATGATGATGATGAGAGTGGTGGTGGTGGTGGTGGTGGCGGCGGCGGCGGCGGTCGCGGTGGCGGTGGCGGTGGCGGTCGCGGTGGCGGTGGAGGTGGTGGTGTGGCGGTTGAATTTGAAGGAGAAGGTGGTGCCAATATTTGTGCCAATATTTCCTAGTGATAAAGTCACTGTGATTGCGCTTCATCGGGTGTTTGCCGTCACGCGGGAAGCAATGCGGCGAGCAAACGCAGCGGGAGTGCGGTTGTGATTCAAGGCTACCGAAGACACAATGTAGTTCCTTGTGCTGTTTTGGCGGGACGGCCTAAAGAAATCCAACCCCAGATGCTGATTGGGAAAGCCTTGGAGGAGAGGGAGGAAGGTGGCGAGAATATCCACAACTACGGCTCCGCCACTCGTCAGTCTTCAAAGCCTGAGAAGTGCAAAGGGCGCGCCCTTTTGCTTTGCAGTGGCTGATGAAAGAGAATGAACAGGCCAACTTGTTCATGGGCCAACAGTTTTCTGCTTTTAAGCCCCTGGCTTCACTTCCCTTGAGCCCGGTGAGACCAATCCACCGGCTCCGACTTGCCGAGGATCTGCAGGAGAAGCTTATGAAGGTCTACGTGCGAATGCAGGAGCAAGCTCCATGCTTCCCTTGGTGCTGGTTGCACCCATGGAACTGTTTCTTTAAGGCCACAGGCTTTTGGACATGATGTTTGATTTGATTTGAGTTAGCTGGAACAGCTTGTCCAACCTGCTCCACCATGTTTGAGCCATAGCTTCTTGATGTTTATTTCAGTTGCCCAGCCGACCTTTTGACCTTTGGTTTCCAAGCTCCGGTGATTGTTGCAAGCAAGTTATGCAGGTTTGATGAAACATGTGGATTTGTTGTTGACGGGGGCGCTCCCTTTTGGGAACTTTTTCTATTGGCAAACCAAAGGCGGATCGAACTCATTTCTGAGGGTTCCCCTATTTGCCAATTCAGTGACACATCTTTCGTTTTTGATCTGTCGTATGAAGGACACCATGTTGCTCACGTGCTGAGTTTCTGGACTTCCTATGCTTGTTTTTCTTAAAAGGGGAAACAGGTCTACTATACCCAGTCTCAAAAATTGAAAAAAACAACGTGTGGCGGTAAGCCCAAACTTTTTCAACCGCAGCGGGAAGCCCCAAACCTTTGCGCTAAACCAATCCGGCCACTCCGCTCGGGAAGACCGCAGGAGGTGCACATGGAGATGCCTCCGGATGTGGGCGAGGCGCTTCGGAACCCCAAGCGCCTGGCCAAGTGCGCCTCGCCTGGGAGAGGGGCTGTTGGGGGAGAGGGAGTGGGTTGGAAGGTTTTCCATCATTCCTGCATTCTTGCTGGGGCGCTTTCCATTATTGGACAATTGGGAGCTCATGGGGTTGATAAACTCCTGGTTGATTCCCTGGCTTGAAATTAACCCGCGTTCTGACATTTCTCCTGACTCAAGCAAGCCAGTATGGATGATTTGTGTTTGTCAGGCGGTCTGGCGCTCATTATGCAGCGCCTTTTGTTGGGAAATGGGGCTTTGTCAATTCTGATTGGTCATGCAACCGCCCGATTCGTCCTGGCAACCCACCGGGGGTCTTAAAGTGATTTAAAGTGTATCGCGCACGGGTAGCAGTTTGGTGACTCGTGTGTACTATGCTCACGTGCGTCTTGCAAGTGTTGCGCATTCGGGAGCTAAAAAAACACCATACTTCTCAATTTCGATGTTTAGGTGTTTGAATGATTTAGCCCCCAGTGTGTATAGGTCATGTGTAACTTGCTTTGTGCCTCTCGCACGTGCATATCTTGAAAATTTGCTGGATCATGCGTATCTTGCCGCATGCGTTCCCAAGGGTCTTCAATCACGAACCCGTTGCCTCGCTTAGCAGGCTTTCGGGCAAAGCACACCTTCCCATGGTCCGATGTGCATCCCCGCTGGTTGCCTCAAACAGGCAGAAGAGCAATTTCGCGGCAGAAGTCGCTTTTTCCCCAACAGCTGAAAGCTTTGGGGTCTCAGCCCAGATAGGCTCCGGGCTTGGTCCGGGGCGGCCCTGAGGTAAGGTTCCACGAGGGTTCTACCAGGGTTCCTTCAGGGTTCCACCAGGGTTCCACGAGGGTTCCACGAGGTTCTGCGAGGGCTGCGGGGTGGTGCGAGCACTAAAAAAGCACCGCATGCTGTTGGGGATGTCACCTGAGCTTATTTTGTCCCCATCCGAGCCTGTAGACATCTGTTTTCTCTTTGTCAAGCAGCGAAGATAGATGTGTCCCAACATCCGACCAAACTGAAGACACCGGGGCAGCCTCAGCTGCTGCTCCAAACGTTAGGCATGCACCGGGCCAACCTGGCGAAGTACAAGACGCTGGAGCGGGGCAGCGAGAAGGACGCCAAGTCCTCCTTGCAGCAACCCGGCCGACTGGAGAGGGCTAGGTGGGACAGCAGGACCGGAGATAGAAGTGGAGAAATGGGAACCTTGCAGGCCTTTGCTGCCTTTGCTTGGTTGTTTTGTTTGAAGATTTGAAGTGGGCAAAGTTGCGGCGACCTTTGGGCTGAGCTGGGGTCCTTTAGGTGAAGGATTCGTTTTGCGGGTTGGGCACTAAACCCGAGAAGCCGGTTCAACAAGCAGGGGCCTGGGGGCCCGTCAGGGTCCCCCAGTAATTACCAAGTGCCAGGTTGTGTTTATGTCTTTCTTTCTGTGGACAGATGCAAAGGACAAGGCTGGTTGCAATCCACGAAATCCAACTGGCCCATGCTCAGGCGACTCTTGGGCAGCCATGAAGAGTTCGAGCTTGGTTTGCTTGTCAGTTTTTCTTAGGGCCATTGGCTGCATGGGGAGCAGGCACACCAGCACGGATGCGCATTGCAAGCGCTGTTGCGGCTCAGGATTTGCATTCAGGATCTGAACCAGCAGCAAGTTGAGAATCTGGACCTCTACATGGTTGAGCACTTGGACGAGACCTTGAGCCAGGCGTGCGTGAGTGCCAGCTGGAGGTCACTGTAACTAGGCGCAGTCACCGCCGATGGATAATGGGTGTCCCTCCCAAAAAGCGCAGAGTCGCTTCTTTGAATGGGATGCGCTTTGCCGATGGCGCCCGTTTCCCGTAGCAATGTTTTCTTTTCCTACTGCTATTTCAGAGCTCTTTGCTGGCTGCTTGGCTGGGAAGGTTGAAGGTTGCACCTCTTTCTATTTAGCACCCCGTTTCACAGTGGGTCAGTCAGAGTGAAATGAAGCCACCGATGTGACAGTCTGTGGGCCAGGGGGTGGGGAGCAGCTGGTAAACAAGGTAATATACGGGCAAAAAACTTGGATAATGGATTTTGGGATGCTTTAGAGCCAAGCTTAGTTATGATTACACATATACATATATATATATATATATTATACATTGCATATATTCATTTATCTGTACATTTTATATATAAATATTCATATACATACATATGCATACATATACATACATATACAGATGTATATATATATATACACACGTTATATATATATATACATGAGATAATATGAGACAACTATTAGTACTTCTTTAGGCCCTTATGTTACTGGGGCGATTTCTCGACCGCACGGTGTCCGCATTTGGACTGAACGGCAGGTGGACATCTCGGAGATGGTGACCCCGTTCGTGGAGACCACCATCCCTGCGGAGGTGTCGAAGCAGGCGGCTGGAAGCTTTTTTGACCCCTGAGACACCTTTCTGGAGGGGTGGGGGCGAAAAAGGAACACCGACCCCAAGAAAAACAAAGTATAAGCAACATCTGAGAAACTAATGAAAATAACAGAATCATCAACAAAAAACACATATTTGTTAGACCTCCCCCCCCCCACCAAATCGACAATTTTGCACCCTTCTGCGTTGCGTAGGTCTCCTCAAGGTATGAGGAACTTGTTTGGGCTATGGCCTAGGGCAATGCTTCATCCTGACCCCGAGGTGCGCTTTGCGCTGGATGAGACCCGCCAGGACAGCTCCGCCCAGTGGGGCCCTCGGCCCTCGGGTTGAGCCAAGGATATTTTTAGGATTCAAGGGGTGCCCTCGCCCCCTGAAGTTCCCGCGCTTTAGTCATTGACTTCTCAGGAAGGGGGATTTGAGTGCCACGCAAAAAGTGCTGGGTCAATCTGCTCAGCAAGTGAGGATAAATACATAGGATATACTATGGCCCCTGCTTGGGACTAGAAAATGTTCATCATAAGGTACTAAGGGACTCTCTAAGAATATGAATGCAACTGCTGTGAGGTAATTTGCCAGCTTCCTAATGGCTTGCGTTTTTTGATAGAGGAGCCCTGGCAAACTCATACTTATTCATAGGATGCATGTCTTCATATGACATATGCGTCGATATGATAAGTGCAAATGTATATGTATAAAACGTGCGTGTATGTGTGTGTGTGTGGATTTGCGTGCACGAATGTCACCACCAATACCTGATATGACCCAGTGCGTGCTTGGCTTACCAGCTTCCATGCCCTCATCCAACATTGCCTCAGCGGCGAAGGCAGCTCTTCGACTTGCTCCGGCGGAAGAAGAACAGCATGCCCAGGAAGCAGGCGCTTGAGTCTTCGGGGCCGGGGCAGTGCAAATTTTGTGTGGCGGTGTTGAGGGTGCAACCTCCTTTTGTTTTGGAAGAGAAAAGGGAAACACCCATTTGTGGAGCCCCTAATTTTGAGACACACCCCATACTTGGGATATGTTTTAAACGGTTGTGGCAAGCATCGGCTCCTTGAAGCCACTCCACGTCACTCCGTGGGCCCAATAGTGACAACAGCCCCATCCCCCAATTAATGCATAACGAGGGGGTCAGTATGCGAAACCCTCTCCACACCCTCATGATTGCCAGCTAGTGGCCGCAAGTCTAAGTGATCGACTGGCTCAGCTGCGGAGCTTTGGCCGCAGAGGTCCTCTTGTACTTGGTCCCCGGGTGGGCTACGCTGCTTTGCTCATGGTTGCGGAAAGTATGGTGTTGGGACCACTTTTTATGATACCGAGGGAATCCGCTCAAAGTGATTGAGTGGCCGTGCAAGAACAACAGCATTATACTGCTATCACAGAAAGGCTGATTTCTATGACACTTTGTTTGCACCATCGAAGCCAACCACAAATTTTGGGACTAGCTTTGCCCCTTCCCCTGCGTTGGCTGCTTGCACGGACAGTTTCAGGCCAAAACCTTTGTCAGCAGATCATGCCAGATGGGGCGCCATCGTTTTTGGTGCCCGGCAGCCGAAGGAAGAGGGACGAATTGACTAGTCGGTCTTCCAGAAATCATGTAGAGGGATACAGGGGGGCATGCCCGTCCTCCCTTGGCAAGTTGCCTCAACTGAGTATACCTTGGGCAGCGCCAGGTTCGCCAGAAGCTTACGCTGAACCGGGTGGACGAGCCAGCACTGCGGCTGCACTACCTGAAGTTGTTGTTGTCCGGAGGCTTTTGTTCAGCCCTTTAGTTTCCAGCTTCTTTCTTTGCTCCAACCTGCGAAACCACGCGAAGTAGGATTTGGTTGGCCGATTGGTGTACTTCTCCTGTCAGGGGCCAGCTGCTTATTGCTTGTTTGACCGCTCCCACCCAAGAAGCGGCGGAGAACCCTTGTTAGCCATATCAGATATGCACAAATTAGCAACGTGCTAATCGCCGAAAAAGCTCGCATAAAGCAACATAAGCCGGGCAGAGTCCGAGGAAGAAGGGGCAGGGTCCCCGGCGCAAGTTGATGCCTTGGCTTTTTGTTTTCAACATCCGACGAGGACCCTGAGGGTGAGGTAGATTCCAAGCAGGGACCCACCTCCGGGACCCAGCCGCAGCCCTGCCTGTGCTGGCCATACCTCAAGGGCTGCGCGTGGCTTTGGGACTCAGGAGGGGCTCATGGGCTTTTTGGTGGAGATCGGAGTCGTTGAGAAGACCGCGGCCAGACGGAAGGCGCGATGCAGACGCAAGCGCCAGGATCAAAATGCAGGTTTACTTCTGATTTGGTCATGGAGTCTATCAAGACGAGTCATGTCCATAGCCCACAATTTGGCCACAGATGGGCCCGTGGTCAAAACGACCCCACATGGTGTTGGGAGGGATGTTTTTCGTGTGGGAGGGATGGACTTCCTGGACTTCCACCCAAAGTGAAGGCTCCTTTCTTGGGGTCCTCTCCTGTTCGATGCGGCGTTTCTTTTACCCGAACCAAGGACTTGGCTTTCATCGATTGGATCTCAGTCCCGAAGCTAAAAACTGGCGCCAGGAGAGCCATACTAATCCATGGGGGGCAGTCCCAAACCAATGAAACAAAGCCTGTTTTCAAACATCAGGTTTTGTTTGGGACTCAGATTCTAACACAGCACCAGTTGCAGAAGCTGCGCATTGGGCAACGGGAACCCGACGCTTTACAATATGCCCGCCGCGCCTTAAGAAGCAACTGGGTCAGGGGCTCGGCTCCTTGAATTCCATTTACGGTTCGTTCCCCTTTGGGGATTGTTTTTCAAGTACAACCAGATTACCCCACCGCCCTCGAGCTAGAGTCTCTGTTAATTACCTATGCTGTCAGCTTGTGTGGCGTTCTTCTGAATATGTTGCATGGTTTCAGTACGTTTTACGATTCACATGGACGATTTCCTCAGCATTTATGTTTTGCTCACATTTTGTTTGCACGTTAATCCCCCCTTCTCCAAAAGCGTAAAAAGCAGGGTGTGCCAGAAATCTAAAAATGAGTAAACCAATCGTACATAAATCGCCAAAAACACCCCAATTGTTACTAAACATTTACGATCTGTCACAAGTGAGAGCCTACTTGAACCTGCCTTGACTTTGCCTACACCGTAGGTCACGAAGCGGGAGATGCTTTACAACTAGTACATGATTCTACCCACAAGCTTGGACCTAGGCCTTCACTACTCGCACCATTCGTGAAGCACACCTTGAGGTCGCAAGTGCCAAGGAAGCCATGCACGTGGGTATTCCTCACTTTCTTTTGACAAGTTTGCCCTTCCGCGATTGAAGGACACCTGCGGGCTGTTTGTTTCGATGCCGAGCTTGGTTAGGGTCTTCTTGTAGAAGGTACGCACCTAAAAACAAAAAATGCAATGGCATTTCCACCTCATGTACACATTCATACAGCATCATGCAACTGGTGGCGGGGGGTCCTTGCCCCGCCTACGGAGACGACTTCTCCCAGGCCTCCCATCACTTGTCGCTGTACCGGCGAGTGGAGCGGCACGTCCACATGTGGAAGCGCGAGGACGAGGAGGGCCATGAGACCAAGGACAGTGTGGGGAAGCCCCAACGATCCAGCAAACAGCTGACCTTTCCGGTGGGCTCGATTTGATTCTGCAGCGGGTGTTGTAGCGCAATGTTGGCTTGATCGGCCAGGCCGCTGGAAAGGACCAAGGGCCTAAGATGGTGGAAGGGGTTTGAATTGGCCAATGAGCAGTGAACACAGCGAGGCATGAGGATGGAAGTTATTCGGCGCCTGTCCGTGCATGCCCCGTGAAACCCAACAAGCGAGCATACACAAGCCTGCCAGTAGAAGAATCGACTGCTGGCCCAAGTGATTTGCACAACCCCAAACAGGGCGCTGCGATTTTGTTTCGCGGCCGCAGATGGTAGCCTCAAATATTTGAACGTGGGGGCACCCCGGACCGGCGCCCAGTCCATGTACCTGGCCTTCGGCAATGTTGGGGTACAGTGCCAGGGGTACAGTGTCCGCCCGGTGATACCTCAAGGGCAGCTTAGAGCTGGCCTTCCGCCTCAGGGCAGAATGTCAGCCGGCATGTTTTAAGGAGCTGGCAGGCATGATTGTGCTTGGCGAACCGGATTGTGGATCACGTGGGTTCAAATATCATCATGCTTCGTGTCCTTTCAGTCTTTTCTATTGAGGCAGGGAGGTAGTGGGGAATTATCTACTTGAGGAGGTCCATGTCTCCCGCGGCAGGCCTTGCTTTTCCGGGGGGGGGGGGGGGGCAGCGTGGTCAACCCTTTTCTCATCCAAGGAAATGATTGCGGGAACACGTCCACTGCATTCTGCCCTGACACGTCATGCCAGCGGTGTGTCATGGATCATTTGTCGCGCAGCCCTTGCCCCCGTAACCCTACATAAAGCAGCCTGTGCTGTGGGAAGCATACATTTTGACTGGCGGGGTGTTTGCGAGCTCGGCTACGGTTGGTCTGGCGTCCGACCGAAATTGGGATGGGAAGACTTTTCTTGGTGCTGAAGTCATCTGAGGTCAGCATTCATCAAATCTTATTGTGGACGCTCAGTTCGGTGTTTGGCACTATGTGCTCGCGAGGACCTGATTGTGGACCCTAGCGACTTGGAGGAGTTCGTGCGGGACCTCGTGCACCATCAGATTTGGTGGGGTGCCATGGCCACTTGGCTTCCTGAGCCGCGAATGCGACTTCACTGTGCCTTCTTTCTGTGGACTGACAGGTGTAGAGTATGTGTTTTTTGTTTTTCAATCCAACCCCCCCAACACAAAGAGACTCGCTTGCACCCCCACCGAGTTGGTTTTCGGGAACCCCCACCCCCAAGACCCCTCAAGCCAAAATGAGTTGCAAGTACGGATGCTGGCCCCTGACAGTGCTGGAGAACCCAGTCCAGGAGTAATTGATGGCTGCAAGCTATCACACGAAAGGGCAAAGTAGCACGGCGATGCAAACAAAGGCAAACAATAGCAAACAAGTGCTCAGTCAAAGCCCAACTAAAAAATAATACGCGGGCGCCTGAGGGTTGCCCTTGTTTCCTAGAATTTCCTGGAAGTGACACACTCAGGGCCCGAACAATTTTATGTCATGAAGTACCACGAACCTGGAAAAACTGATTGCACTCATCCAGTTCCAAATAACTTGTTGAGACCCTAGCTGAATGGCTCGGAGTCGCTTCCAAAGATAGCAGACCCTAGTCCCTTCCCCGCATGACTTCTTTGTTTGGTTGAATTGCTCCTAGCTTTTCCCATTGAGCATCAAAAGGGTAGACTTGGTTACCAGACCTGCGCCGGGTATCGGGTTCATTGACCGCACTGGTCAGATGTCCGCTTTCTTCGCTTCATGATCGCAGGCTGCCCAGCAAGAACTTACAGCCTACGGCAAGCATGGAACTCCCCAACAAATTCCACTCCCAACAGGAAGTGGGGGCCTGTGGAGGTTCATTGCATTTTCAGGAGGGTACCTCTTTTCCAGCCCTTTGGGGGTCCAGGTTCCATGCTGATTTTCAGGAGTCCGTCCCGGAAACTTCAGCCTTCACTTGTGGGTTCTCGGTGGGGGGTCACCCTGGCATTGGGGAATGGTGCAAGGGGTCCCTTCAATGGAAGGAAGCCACAGCCGATGGCTCATAGAGCGTCATGCCCTTTTTCCGCCAGCAACCATTGAGTACCATCTAATGAGTATCTTTGTCCCGTAACCAGCTGGTGGCAGAAAAGATGTAACGTTGGCCAACACCAGGGTCCCCTACATGTCCCCTGGTTGCAGGTTTTGCACATAGTCTTTCAGGCCAACTTGAACCGAGTTTCTTCTTGGTGATGTTTTTTTGCCGAAATTTGGGTGAGTTCTGAGCGCTCAGGAGAGCATTCTGAAAAGCATCGGCTTCCCCATAGGCGAGGGTGAGAACCAGCTCAGCCGAGAACTGGTCCTCCGGGAGTACGCCTCTTGCCCAAACATCGGGGCTGCCGGGCTGGGGAAGGGGGGGGGGGGCAAACTCAAACATCAATTATGTGTGTGTGTGTGTGCGTGTGTGGTTTTTGAGGATGCTGCAGGCTGAACAGTAAGACGTCCCTTGCCAAAGATGGAACCATCATAGATGAGCTCATTTTATCCCCAGGTGAGCTCTTTAGAAGGGCGATCAGCGGGAGCGAGCGCCAGTTTGGAACAGAAGGAGAGCAGCAAACAAGCTCCGATCAACCATTTCCTATGTAAAGTTCAACATGTATGCTTCTACACCGCCAATCCTGGAAGAACTGAGCTACGTTGCCAGACTTTTCTCTTTCAAATGCACTTAGCCGATAAGATATGGTTGTATGTTTTTGGAAAGGACCCTCTCTTGGGAGTTTGTTTACATGGAAGCCAAACGCAAAAAACCTGTTTGGCACATACCATTTCGCATTTCACACAGCCAGATCCGTGCAGTTTGGCGTCTGCGTGTTTGTGTGGGGTCGCGCCAGGGTCCGATCAGATGGGGTCGGAGTGTCTGTGTCTGCGTGGGGTCATACAATCAGACAAGCACCTGCGCTTATATCTGGCCGGATCTGGTCAGATAGCCTGCGTGGGGCCATTGAGTGTTTGTGCAGGGTCAGACACGCGCAGGTTCGGGTTGGCGTGTCAGGGGCCACGCCAGAAGTGGTCAGATACGCGCAGTTTGGGTCGGGGTTCTGCGCGGGCCGGTCAGATACCCACAGGTCCAGTCTGGATGTCTGAGTGGGGCACGCCAGATCTGGTCAGATGGTTGGCCACGCCTGCTTTTCCAAGCAAGGTTGGGCATGGCGCAGGGGGGTTTGAAGCAGGCTACGTACAATGGGGCGAGCTTGCATACCAGAGATGCTCATTTTGGTTTCGTCCCAGAAGTGTGGAATTTCCATTTGTCCTTCGGGGTCGATTCGTTTTGTCCACGGCCAGGAGCTGACAGCCAGCAAGGATGGGTTCCTGCCACGGGACAAGATGCTGGATTTCTTGCGCAAGGCCAGGCTGCTTTTAGGGACCTATTTGCCGCCAGGGAGTCTGGAGATGAGCATCGACCGCTCTAGTGTTACCCAAGGAGTTTTTGCCTCGTGTTCCGGAACCAACGGGACGCACTGCTTTTGTGTGCACAGACGCACAACTTTGCACGGTACCTAAGACAGGGTCCCTATGGATATTGTCTTTCACGGGGCTTCAGGCTCCAAGCTTGTTTTTGGAAGCTTTCCGTCCGGGTTGCGGGCAGGCACAGGGGATGACGCAGGGATCCGTATTTTGTCTTCTTTTGCGATTGAACGCGCATGTTGATTGGGCAACTTGTAGCGGCTTATTTTCAAAGGGGAGTAACAGGTTGGGATTGGAAGGTGAGCGCGCCGATTGCTTGGGTCAAAGCGGCCTCGCCTCTACGTAAGAAACAGCCGTGCTGACTCATGTGTGGGGCTGGACATTTTTGGAAAACAGATTGAGCTGCATTTTCGGGGGAGGGGACAGGCACCTAGTACTGGTGAGGTCCTCAATCTAGAGGTTCACCTCACAGCCTGCGCTTACCCGTCGGGAGAACGCGTAGGTTAGTCAGGCAATCCGAATCATAAATTTGGGCGGCCAGCCTTTTGATTCTTTGCTGCACTTGTTCACTGGCACCCTTTTTCCATTTTTCCCCTGGGTCACTGAATCACTGGGTCCTGTATTTCGGGTAGACTCCTTCAGCGTATTTTGATTCTGACTCAGTGAGGCAGTTCTGTAGGACCAGGAGAGACATTGGCTCTGGCTTTGAAACTCTTCTTGACCCTCCCTTCTTAGGATCTTCTCAAAAAGCTTGCGTTAACAAACTTGCTTGCCTGCTTGCTTGCTTGCTTGCTTGCTTGTTTGCTGGTTTTTGCTTGCTTGTTTGTTTGCTTTCGCTTGCCTGCTTGCTTGTTTGTTGGTTTTTGCTTGTCTGCTTGCCTGCTTGCCTGCTTGCCTGTTTGCCTGCTTGCCTGCTTGCTTGTTTGCTTGTTTGCTTGTTTGTTTTTGCTTGTTACCTTTTTTGTTGGCTTGGCAATGGTCAGCGTGCCGAGCAGAGCTTGCGGCAGGTCTCCTGTGCCGGGGTGGCAGATGGTGCGGCGGGACGGCTTTGGAAAGCTCAGATGGTGATGCCGCCCGGGCGAATATACGTGCGCTCTAAGCTTCCCTTTGGTTAAGAATATGCTTTATTTGCCCCTGGTGGTTTTAAACGGAATCTAGCACTACTGGATCTTTTTTCAAGGGGACTTAAGCAAATGGAGGTAAGTAAGCGGGCCTATGTTTGCAAGGGCCCTTTTTCGGGACTGGCTTGAAGGAGAAAAGGAACACCGCCATCTTTTGGCCCCCCCTAGTTTTTCACAAACGCCCAACTAGAATAGGGGGGGTGTTGGGTACCCACCAATCCACCTCATCATTCTCAGAGAGCAATTTGTTTGCAGTTTTTCAGCCTTGTATCACGGTATCCCCGTGCAAGATGTTGGTTCTCCGGGGCAGGTGCGAGATGCTTCAACTGTGCGTGTAAACCCTTGCCTCTTTGCACAATCGTCTTCTCTTGTGTGAGGGTCTGATTAAACTGCTGGTTCCGATCACTCCGTCGACACTGAGGTGCTGTAGGGGCCCTTTGGTGGAAACCTGCTTCCCCGCCAAGAGGGGCCGCTGCTTTCCCTCCGGAGGGAAATGCGCTGAAATTCTTCAGCGCCCTTCAAGGCGATCACTAACCCCGTGTTTATTGACGTGTGTTACTGTGGATGGACGAAATCCTGCACCACCTAAGAAACCTCGGAATGTTGATTCCCCTATAATTATCGCAAAACAATGGAATCTCATGGTTTCAAAGTGGTGCAGGATTTCGTCCATCCACAGTATGTGTCTTATGTGTTGTTATCATTGTCAAGGTTACCATTGATCATCATGACTGCATTCACCATCCTCACTGGTTTGAATCGTTGTCAGTATTCTTGCTGGTGCGCAGTAGGGAATGACCCAGGGTGTTGGAAATGAGCGTAGGGATTCCCTTGAAGGAAGCCGTAGGGCATAGTTTATAGGGGGCATTCCCTCATGCGCTGCTGAGCACCAGCAAGTATTTCACAGGATCCTGATGATTGTCCTTCCATGCTTCCTGAATGTGCCACGTGAAAAAGAAGGCCATTTCTTAGGGGACGTTCTCAAGGCAGAACCCGTTTCAAAGCATGGGTTCACAGGGGAAGCCAAGGAACCAGGATATTGTAGGGGTCCCTTGTGTTGAGCACCACCGAATTGGCTTTTCCCATTTGGGTTTAGTAGCCCAGTCATCCCCGTTACCCACCAGGGAATTGTGCCATTTGCTATCGACCAGCGTTTGCATAAATTGGCCCATACAAACACTGTTTCACTCCACGAAAAGGAGGTTTGCGTAGTTTCACGGCGAGCCCAAGACGAAGAAGGATGTTTGTGTGGTTTTTCAGGGTGGTTGTTCTTTTTTCCGAGGCGTTTGTGTGGTTTCAGGCTGGGTTTTCAGATCTCCAAGGCTTTTCCAGCACCTGAACATCTGCGGCTTCGTGGGCAAGGCCGTGGCCCCCCGCAAGAACAAGAAGGCGGCGGCGGAGGAGGTGGACATCGCGGACGACGGGCTGCGGGAGATGGCCAAGCGCCCCGGTTCGGCGTTCGGTTTGGGGGTTCGAGGGAGGGCGGGTGGGTCGGGGGTGGGTTTTGACCGAGGGCATGTGGCAAAGTAAAGGGAACCTCTTAAAATCATCGTTTTTGTTTTGGGGGGGGGGGTCTCTTTGAACCAACCGAAACCAAGCCCAAAAAGGGCATCAAGAAAAAGATGCGTTCAGTTTGGCCGGTGCACGTAATGTTCAACGTCGGAAACATGAAGCATTGAGTCTCTGACTTTGGTCAAACCATGGGGCCATTAGGAGCCAGAAAGGAGGCCGGAAATTAAATTCCATCCACGAAAGCTCGGGCACCCCTTAAGGTCCAATCACCCAAACCAAACCACCAACTCAGGGTCAGGTGAAAAACGGCGTGTAGATTGGCCCTGCAACCTGTGCGTTTTTGCTAGGTATCCATGGCTTTTGGGGCATGCTTGGGATGAGTAAGGCATGTTCGGTTGTTGGGCAGGTCCTCCGGTTTGCTTTGTGGACGTCAACTTTGCGCGCAGATGGTTTGCAATGCCTCAAGCCAACGATTGTCTTCCTTGACCTGCATGGAGCCCAAAGCTCGATAGGTTAACGGTCAATTGGGCATGTGAGTCTGTCATCCGAAAAGTTGTGTGCCTCACAAATCAACAGCGATTCGTGCGCGTTCTTTTTGCCTGGCGCTCGAGGATTTTCGCCAAGCATAAAGCCAGTGATCTCTTGAAGCCGTGCCTGAGAGTATTCGTTCTGGTTCGGTAAGCCACGCTTTCCGGGAGCCCAAGGCTTCTTCCTATTTGACCGGGCAAACCCCCTTTCAGAAGAGTGAGCCGGGTCCAAACGAACAGGGACCCGCCTGGGTTCCTTACAGGCAAAACGGCTCTGCAAGGCAGACCTGGCCCGCCTGGATGGAGTGCCTCGACGATCCAGGTACCGAGAGGTGATTTGTTGCCTTGTTTTGGGGGACTCGGGCAACTCTCCCCACTGCATTTAGTGATGCATCCGATACATGAATGACATCATATGAAATCCATATACTTGTATGTTGTATGTTCACGATGGCACCCTCATGATCCAGCTTTGTGTCCAGCGGCTTGGCAAGCACACGCGTGCGACTGCAATTGCTTCCATACGCACGACTTACTCAAAAGTACTGCAAGCATGGTGTTCTTATAGCCCCAAAAAATATTCGGAAAGCAAGCACGTAGTTCATACGCTGTAGGCTTCCATTGCCTATCTCAACCGGACACAGCCACCACAAAGCCGCGAAGAAACAAGACACAGCTGGCGATATGTTGGTTTGCCCAATGTTACATGATGATGCGTCCCCCAGCGTTCCTCACTTAGTCAGTTTTCTGTGGCTTCCAGAGTTCCGTCGCTGGCGCACGAAGCAGCGTTAGATTGTTCAGTGCTTGATTTCCAGCCCACACCCACCCACCCACACCCGTTTTGTTGCTGGACGCACACCCTTGCCTGAAAACTAGCCGTTTGTTGGCATTTGCCGTGGCAGCCCACATGACCCGTGATGGCCCGTAGAGGTTTCCAAGCACCTGGCTCATGCAGCCCATGTGGCTGTGAATTTCTCTGAGCTCAAAAAAAGTGGCCGGTGAGCGTAATTCCAAACAGCTTCCGACGCTTGGCAGGGTGCAGTTGGGAAACCTCGGGTTCGCCCTGCTGGGCCCCTGCTTTGAGGAAGGCCTGGACGAAAGTGGCCCCAGCGGTGGCCTCCGACAACCTGTCCAAACCTTTCCTGCCCCGAGACTCGGCAGCAGGGCTCGGAGTTTGGGCATGTTTCGCGCAGGTGGTTTTAGCAAAGCAAAACGAGCTCACAAAGGTGATTTGCTGGGCTGCCGACGTTTTCCAGGAGAACTATGCTAATGTGCGCAGATTGGTTGGGAGAAACAGTCGATTTGTGAAAGCCAACGAAATCCCCATGTAAATAGTGTCCGCTAAAGGGCTACTAGTACAAAGTCATGACCAAATATTGGTTCGTGGGCCTGAATCCCTCATGGAAAGGACGGCCAATGATTGGATGTGTTCGCCAGATAGCTGGGTTGACGGTGCGGGCGCATTTTTGCGAGGTTGACGGCAGGGTTTGGGGGGCATGCAGTTTGGGGGTGCTGGTGCAGGTGCTGCGTGGGGGTGCTGCTTTGGGTGCGGTTTGAGGTGATGGGTGCGGGCGCATTTTGTCGAGATTGACGGGTGCAAGGGCACTGTTTGGGGGTGCTATTGGAGGTGCTGGTGGCGGTGCGGGGGCATTTTTTCAAGATTGCTGTTAGGGAGCTAGGGGGAATGCAGTTTGGGGTGCGTGCTGTTTGCGGTTCTGGTGACGTGTTTTTACCTAACAGCTAGGGTTTCTTGCGTCGAAAAAGCGGCAAGCTATTTTGCGAGTTTGGGCCAGATTGGTGTTGCAGGTGCTGGTCAGGGTGTTGTTTGGGGTGCACTCAAGGTGCTGTGGTGGTCGCTGGCAATGCCTATTTTACGAAGCAGGTAGGATGCTGTTGTGGATGTTGGTCAGGGTGCTATTTTGGGTGCTGGTCAAGGTGCTGTTTCGTGTGCTCAAGGTGCCGCGATTGTGGCAATGTTTCTTTGGCGATGCATTCAGGTTGCTGGTCAGGGTGCAGTTGAACTCTCCCTGCTGTCTGGGGTCTATGCCAGATGTTCGATTTGTTTGACCCGCTCGGCGTCAGGAACCCTGATCTACAAGTTCGTGAAGGAGGTGGCCCATTCCCGGGAGACGAGCATCCGCAGCTACAAGGAGACCGGGAACATTGCGAATCTGAAGATCATCGACGAAGAGCCGCCCGGCGAAACGAATCTGCACGAAATGGGTGGCTGCGGGCTGCTACTCCAAATGCACACCGCCGTTTAGGGAAGGATTTCTAGTGTCTGCCAGTAAATACCCGGTTGACATTTTACCCCAAAGAAGTTGTGTCTTTTTTGGAAAAATACAAGGTTCTCGAAGAAAGCTCAAATTCGGTGAAAGTATTTTTGACATCCCACCCTCCGCAATCGTGGCCGGACCGGGTCCTGGTCTTGTGGTATGGTTTCTTGATGGGCTGTTATCTACCCAACGAACCTTTATGTTGCGTTCAAGAACCGACAAGCAGGCTGCATGTAGCATTTCTCACATTAGATACCCAGCAACTGTTAGCTGGTCTATGCGCAAACGCAAACATGGTAAACTGGGCGGGCTTGAACCTCAGGCCTGCCCACTGCAACCACCACTACTGCTATGTCTCCGCAGTTGCGATTGTCATCCTCCGCAGGGAAGCAAGACACACGCAGATATTGCCAGCAATCTGCAGCTTCACGGTAGTTTCCGAATAGCAGATGCCTGCATCAATGGTCGGCAACTAGTTGATGGTCAGGCGGCCTTGTCGACGGCCGGTCAGGTACGATTCTTGGAAAAAGGAGGAGGTAGACGGCAGCAAGTACATTTGGGTGAACCGCGGCAAAGGCTTGCTGCGAGTGCGTGGGATTTGGCTGGACACTTGGCTGAGGGGCCAGGGCTCGTACTGGGATCGCAGTTTTATCACTCACCCACTCACCACCCCCCCCCCCCCCCGGCACACACCAACACCAAAACACAAACATGGGGAGATTGGTGCCATCCAATTTCACCCGAGTACATTGGCAGTGCAGGTCGCATGGAGTACTTAGCTTATGCCCTTAAAAGCCTGATTCGGGCTATTTCTGAGCTCTGAATAGCGCTGATGGAGTGTTTCTTGTCAGGCCGATGCTGGCATCAAGGTTGGGCTCCACTTTCATCTAGTTCCGAAATTTCTGTTATATACCACCAGGCGAAAGGCCATAGGCTTCAATCACGTTGACATATTGAGGCCGGTTTTGGTGGCCGTTTATTTCCGGCTTGGGCTGGCCGCTTGTTTGCCATGCGCTCGCTCGCGTCAGGAATGCTTCCTGGATATCTTGAAAAAGATGGGCAGTCCCGTGCAGGAGTGGGAGTTTTGGGACCTGCCTTTTTGCACGGATCGGGCTTGTGATGTAGGGAGCCCTTCAACAACCCTACCCTAAAATAGGCAACCAACCACGGTGTGCCTCAGAAGGTTGCTGTGGTTGCTGGTCGGTGTTCTTGTTTTTCCTGTTTCTTGTCGGGCAGGTGTTTTTTGTTTCTGACAAGAAGGACTTGTAGAAAGAATGGGGGGTTCCCCCCCTCCCCACCCAGGTTTTTGAGACAACCCCAGATCACGACTCGAAGGCAACCTCAAAGGAAACCCATTTTGTCCAGGGTTTGATTCCCCATGTTGCACCACCACCCACCAAAAAGCACTCAACAAACATCCAAAGGAAAGCCACGTCGGGTTCCATGTTCTATCCTGAGACATGGGAATGTATGCAAGTTGGGGGGATGGCGGGGGGCGTTCCCTCTGTTCCCTTTCCAAGCAAGCTACCCTCAAAACTCAAAACAAGTTGGTTTGACAAATTGAAGCAATTGAAGCACCGCAGGATATGAAAGAGGGCCTCTTTCTCTTCGACCAGGCGCTGCAGGACCAGACGAAAGAGCTGGGCCTGGAGCCCGGGTTCAAGAGATCGCTTCATCATCGCACGCGCGTGGCGGGAGTGGCCATTGTTCCCGCCTAATAAGGTCCGTGTCACTGGGGAGATAGGCGTGATTTATGGGTCTGAACCCAACTGGCGGCTTACATGGATCAGTTTGCTTGGCCATCTTCACGTAGGGCTGAAGAGAGAAAGGCGCAGCCGTGATGCCTGGCCCAGGTGCGCAGTGCCCTCGAAATCCCCTTGCGCTTTCTGGGTGTCGCTCCCCAAAAGAGAAGAAATCCAACTCGTTTTCTACCGAACGGGGTCTCTGGTCTTTGCAGAGCCGCGCTGAGGCTCCCGCCGCAACTTGCCACTCATGAGCGGGCCGGGTGGGGGGGGGGGGTGAGGGGGGAGGTTGAAGACTGAGGAATGTGCAGCAGACGGTTTGGGGTTCCAATCGTCATTCTTCGACCCCACTCGCCTGAGTTTCCTGAGGCTTGATTTTCAACTGTTTCAATGAGGGCACGTGTTTTGAGGGTAACCTGTAAGGGGCTTTGGCGGGAGCAATTCAACGGAAGCCACTGGATCTTCGGAGCTTGTTTCGGCGCGCAGAATCGACCACAAGGGAAGGGCCCTTTCGCACATGCAGTGAACTTAAAGGCAAGGCTCGTTGGATGTGAGGGATCCAGCCAACTGACCGGATCCTTCATATCCAGACCAGCAGGATTTACATTGTTGCTCTCTCTCTCTCTCTTTCTCTCTCTCTCTCTCTCTCTGTCTCTTTTTTCCACGGTCTCTGGGGCCACTTCCATCCACCAATCGGAGACTCACTTTAGGCTTGGCCGAAAGGTATTGTCTTATGGCAACCAAAGGGAATCGCCTAACCCTTCATGTATTTAAAGGCACGGCGGTCCTTGAGTTCTCGAAGGCACAGCGAGTCATTCCTTCAGAAAGCAATTAGGACGTGCAGTTTTGGACAGAAGGAAGACCATTGTTGGGATTCTTTACTGGCTCGGCGTCCGCAAAGGGACAGGTTGTAGCTGCCTTTGTTTGTTTGTTGTTTCTTTGGGTGCCAGACAGCCAACCAGAGAACCCATTTGTTGCAGTCTTCGTGGATTTAGTGCAGTTTGAGGCATTCATGTAACGCCGCATCATTGGGTCCTTTTGCGGCTCCCACTCCCCAAATGTCGCCAGGAGAAACATGACAATGCAGGAAGCATTCAAATTCGCACGCGTTTGTTTGCACTGGCGAATTTCCCTTCGAGCTGTGCCGATTCAGATGGAAGATCCATTTAAGCCCGTTACAGTTGGTCATCCTACTGTGGATGGACGAAATCCTGCACCACATAAGAAACCCTTGAATGATGATTCCCCCCTGTAAATTCCACGGGAACTGGTGTCAATTTGGTGCAGGATTGCGTCCATCCACAGTACCACCTAGAGCTAGCTTCGTATATGGGCTACAATCGGACCTGTAAATTCATGTTGGCAGGGCCAAGGGTCAATGGATATTGGCAACGTTCGCTTGGGAAGAAGCCGGCGAACCAGTTCTGAGGCATTGCAGAGGAGGAGATCGAAGGCAGCAGGGGAGCCGTGCTGCTAGAAAGAGGAGCCATACTGTAAATGGACGGAATCCCCCAAGAGGCCACTCACTTGCTGGTTTCAGAAGTGATGTTTGAAGTGGGTTGAAAGGGAAATAAAGCGACCTCTCGATTTGGGGGGAGGCCAACCCCCGAAGCCTGCCCCATCCGCAGTAGGTTGTTCAGAAATCCTTTGTCATTGCATCTGGTGCCCGGTAGTAGCGGTTTCACTTATCGCGGATTGCGGAATAGCGGAATGCATTTTGAGCAGCCAGTAGAGGAGGCATACATGCAGGGGGTGGCAATCAGGGGAAGGGTTTGGGGACCTCTCGCTGCTCTTTCCCAGGCCCTTGCCAGTTTTTGAACGCAGGGGTCCCTCTATATTTTCCTTCTTGGTGGTTTTAGAATGTTTGACATCACATTTAGCCCAAGGTGAGTTTCCCATGGTAGGGGAAGCTTTTTCAAGGGAAGCGTAGGCAACCCTGACATACCCTATGATTGTCCAACCTTTCCCAACGGACGTGGTGATTGTCCTTGCCGTTGGTGGCCATGTTGGTGTTTCGCCTGAGCATTCTTCTCTGCAAGGCAGGCCTTGTTCCGCGCGCAGGTTGTTATGGGGCCCAAAAAGGGTCCTGTTTAAACATGGCATATGATCAGGAGCACTTGCGAAAAGCAATCTGAATGAAGCTGCTTTGTGTTGGTTTCCATGTCAACATGTGTCAAAATAGGGGAACCCCAAGAATTGTTGGCTTTCGTCTTAGCATCCCTTCAAACCAAGCTGAAAGTTTGGAGGCCTACTGTCCGCAGACTACCTGCAGCAATGGATGCACAAGAATTTGGTGGAGCGCACCACGGAAGTTTCGCTGACGACTTTCAAGGACAGACCCCAGCTGGCTGTCAAAGGGCGGCCCCCTTTTTTTACCCCCCAAGTTCGTGGACTTGAAACGTCTTGTTGGAAGAACGTGTTAGTTGCAACAAACAGTTTGGACTTTCGTTGGGCAATCCACCCGGAAATGGGTCGTGTCTCTGTAGTTTCCCCGAATTCCTCGGAGAAACTATCCAGAAATGGATCTGATGGACACCCCCCATTTTTCCGCCCACGAAATCAGGCTTCATTCATTCATGGATCACTCTTCCCATGTTGGCCAGCTAACCCCCGGCCGCACCAAGCCCTCAATATCAACAATGCCTTTGGGCAGACAAACGCCCGCGTTTTCTGGGTGCTGTGAACCGTGGCAGCCCCCCCTCCCCAAGCGTCCCAGGAGGCGTTGAAGATGGCTGAGTTCACGCTGCCGTTCTCTTCCGTGGAGGCCTCCCCGTGCTTTGCCACCGTGCGTGCAAGTGCACCGCGGTCAGGAGGCAAAAGGGAGGCAAAACCATGTTGTCCTGATTTACAATTGGGTGCAAGTGCTCATTGGGTTTGGTCATGTTATTTTCATCCTTTCTGGCTTCTGGGTCGATCCCACGCCTGGGGTCATTCCCTTTACCCAAGCGAAGGTAGCTATGCCATCACAGTCAGGCGCTGTGGTACTCCGCGGACAAGGCGGTGATCAGCGGGGGCAAGGAGCGCGCCTCCCTCCGGCAGGCGGGAGGGAGATTCGAGCAGGGCGCGGTTTGCGTTTTGTTTTTTTTTGGGGGGGACTCTTCCTGCGAATTCACTTCGCACCCACAAAGAGGTCCAAAATGCCGAAAGGGCGATTCCTGGAAAACAATTGTCCAATTCCTTAATGTAACTACAAAACAAAAAGTTGAAGTTGTTGGGTTCCATGTGAATCTGCGGCGAGCGCCCTCCAATATGCCTGCCGCGGAACCTGGAAGGTCTTGGTTTGGACCGTTTTCCTCTAGGGATCCTCTGTCAGATGCTGCGCAAGTGGGAGGAATGGATCCCGGGGGGGGGGTTCGAGGGTTTGCGCTTTTGTTGGATTTTGATTTTGCATTTACTGAAGGTGCTTTCTTTCATATGGTTTTCTTGTTTGCAGATGCACCTTGCTACTTCCCGTCGGTCACACCATGCGATCTAGGTGTGGTCTGCGAGCATGTCAACCAATTCCCCCTCATCCTTGTAGCAGAGGCATTTAGGACTGCTGTGGAGGCGTTTGAACACACCGTCCCTCTTGCGTTTTGGAAGCATGCCTCTGTCATTGCCTGCGCAAAAAAGGGGTGCCTGTGCACGTCCACACCTGCCACGCCTGCATCAATTGCCATTGAAATGTAGAAGCAATACCAGCTGGCTGATGACCGCCTCGAGCAGGTTGGTGATCATTGCTAACCAACCTGCACCCTTCAATGTAATTTGTGAAGGTGTTGTGTATGGCATGGTGGGCACGATCCATGTGACGCGCTATGGGAGGGCCGCCCTGTATACCTCCAGCCAGCTGGTGGATTAATTAAGGCACTGCAGGTTCACAAGCGCCTGACTCGGCCAATGAGGGCGCACAACTTCCTAGAGGATCCTAGAGGTAAAGGATCTTCACCAACAAGTTGCGCAGATGTCCCTCTCCCATGGCTCGGCACCAGCACCAGGGATGCGAGACAACCGCTCCGAGCATCCGACCCCACAGAGCGAACTCGCAATTCTCAAAACTGAAGGGTTCCTCACCTTGATCCACATTTGCCTGTAGCGTGTTCAAAGTGACGAGGGGCAGGGAGGGGATGCAAACCAATAAACCAATGTGCATAGTCATAAAATGGCTACAAAGCATGTGTTTCGCAAAATGCGATGCTTCTGCGTGGCAACCGGTTTGTGTTATCACATGCTTTCTGTGTAAATCTCTCAACATGTGGATGTAAAACAGGGCCCGCCACCCCCCCCCCAACCAAAACGTGGCTTCCTTTTGGTTTCCGTTTCAACCAGCCAGAAAAAAACGGCACCCCCAGAAAAACCCACCCTCGTATCCACCTGCCGGGCCTGAGTTCAGGTCCGGGACTTGGAGGACCGCCTGGTGCACCGCGGCAGGAAAGACATGTCGGTTGGCTTTTTTAGTGGGTGGGCAGGACTTGGACTTTTTTGTTTTTGGTGGTGTTTGTCTTCATTTCCCTTCAAGCCACGGTGAAAAGGACGCCCCCGCAAAAAGCACCCCGATTTCAGTTGATGAAAAGCACCCCGATTTCAGTTGATGGGCGTGAAGTGCAATATGGCCTGCAATATGGCCTGCATGTGCAATATGGCATGCGTAGAAGCAGGAGTCAATGGGCTTTGGACGCTCAGTTGGACCCATCAAGTTTCTGGCTTTTGTTTTTGCAAGATCGGTTTTGGTTGATGCCTCGGCCGTCTTCAAGGGGTTCGGTGTGGCGGTGTGCTGGGGCTAGCTGCTAGCTCGGGGGCTCCTGGCCGGGCCAGGCACGGAGCGCCAGAGTCGCCGGTGAAGTGAGCGTTGGCCATGTCGGAAGATCCTTGAACATCAGCTTCTGTGGTTGTGACCTGCTGTTTCGCAGTGGTCAGTGGGGTTTCGATCATTTGACGTTAGTATATCAGTGGAATATGTGCAAGTGTGTGATGAGGGGGAGCCGAATGGAAAACCATCTGTAAGGGCCCCCTATGTTTACACATGCCAATATCCGAACCCAACCCATCTCCTTCCTGGCCCTCAAGCCTTGTGGGGTTGGGGATGGGAAAGGGGGGTGTCGGGTAAACACACACACACACAAATGAGTGTGTTCTGCTCCTTTGCATGCATGTTGTGCATGCATGTTGCAGCGCGCAAACGGGTGAAGACTGTCTCCGCAGGCCAGGGGATGCCATTCCGAGGAAGATCCAAGGAATCCCCACCCTCTAATCAGCATATAGGGGTCCACATCCGTTAAGGAGGCCTGTTTTAGTACCATGCCCCCTTCTCCTGGTTCCCCCTTGGTCCGCAAATAGAGCTTCATGCAGGTTCGCGGGGGCCCTGATGATATTTTTGGGGGATGCCAAGGATGTATCTCACCAACGGCATGTTCTACGAGTCCGTGCGGAACTTGATCGTCAACGAGCTCCATGTCCCGTCCTTGCAGTCCCTCGACGCCAAGGAGCTGATACCCGGTTTCAGCCGGGCGCGGAGTTCTCCAGACACCCCTTCTAAGCTCAAGCACCAATTGCGTTTTTTTCGAATCAAGTTGGTGGTGGGGTTGTTTGTCTCCACCCTCCCTTTGGAGCCTTGTATTTCGATTTGAGTTTTGACATCAGCTTTGGACCCCTTTGTAAAGTAGTGAGTTTCCTTCGGGCAATTAGGGAAGATGGTTTCGGTCTGCAAATGCAGGGCTCTGTGACGGCCGCCTTTCAGGCGGTGTGCATCAGAAACCAGTTGAAAGAGCAACTGATAGAAACAGCCCAGTAAATCCTACCTGGGGCCCCAAAACACTGCTTGTTTTTGGTCAAAAGGCTTTGCCCGAAAAAAGTGGTCATACGGCCAAATACGTTTTCCTTCGCATTTTTTTCGATATAATATGTTATCGACAAATACGGGTTTTATACGGCCAAATACGGGCAACTAATGCAAATGACCGGAAAAACAAAAAGGGAAAACAAACATTTCGGGTAAAAACAGGCCACATATGCCATTTGACCGAAAACACAGTTGCATTTTGGGGCTCCAGGTAGAGCATTGCCAGATACCTGTCAGAAACGCTTTTTCGTCGAATTCCTTTGGTCTTCTCGGCCGCGGTGGCACCCTTTTGGTGTAAATCAACAGGACAACCACGCTTTTGGGGCTCCAACTCTTGACGGCCATTCTTGCCAGGAGATCCAGGCGGCCTTCAAGCAGGTGGACGAGAAGACGGGCTATTGCGGCATCATTGACCCCCACGAGGCGAGATGTGAAAGGGGAGTGGGGATTGAGTGGTTGGCCCCTTCTGGGGAGTTCAGGCGATTTTCCTCTGCACCTTGGCAGGCCCATGGGATTTGTATGATTTCTGACCTTCCAATTGTTCCGTGGCAACGGCCTGATTCTTGCTTGAACTGGTTAGACTCGGACTGCAGTAATTGGGATGCAACGGGCAAAATCGACCCATCACCAGTCATGCTGGGTTTGGACACTTGTTTCTCACTGACGTGGGGGTCGGAACCTGTCACCACACCACGGACAGAAGACAGAGACAAGCAATTACTCTGCGTGACAATAATATGCATGCAAATGCTAGCCTTTGCATTTCACACATCCATATACATTAGGGCTTGCCTCTATCAATAAATTGCATGCCTTCTTTACGCGGGCAAGGAGGGGCTGCACAGGCTTTCCGACTCGGCAACATTTACTCTAATTTTGCGGAACGTTCACCCCCAATTTTGTGGGTTATTTACCCCCAATTTTGTCCAATTTTGTTGGTTATTTACCCCCAATTTTGTTGGTTATTTGCCCCCAATTTTGTCGGTAATTTACCCCCAATTGTGTGGGTTATTTACCCCCAATTTTGTTGGTAATTTACCCCCAATTTTGTTGGTAATTTACCCCCAATTTTGTGGCAATTTATCCCAAGTTTGGGACTCGTTATTAACCCCCAATTTTGAAAATTTGGGGGTTAATAACGAGTCCAAAAATTGGGGGTAAATCCCAGGTTTCCCAACGGTATACGAAGATTTACCCCCCAATTATTGGACTCGTTATTAACCCCCAAATTTCCAAAATTGGGGGTTGATAACCACAAATTTGGGGGCAAATTGCCCACACGATTGGGGGTAAATAACCCACACAATTGGGGGTAAATTACCGACAAAATTGGGGTAAATAACCAACGCAATTGGGGGTAAATAACCAACAAAATTGGACAAAATTGTGGGCAAATAACCCACACAATTGGGGGTAAATTACCGACAAAAATGGGGGCAAATAACCAACAAAATTGGGGGTAAATAACCAACAAAATTGGACAAAATTGGGGGTAAATAACCCACACAATTGGGGTGAAATTTGAGGTAAACTGGTGGTAAAGAGTTACTGCTACAGGCAAGGCTTAACATATACATGTATATTTATGTATATTTATGTGTTGATTTATTTTACGTAGTTGTTTGCTTATCTATGTGTATCTGCATGAAAGTGGAGATAAGGGGTGTAGACATCCACACATGCACATATGGACATCGTTCCATGGTACGCAACTGCGTTCAACACGGTAGTGCGTGTACCAAAAATGCCTAAAACCAAGGTGTCCCGAATGCTGGCACTGCAACGGCATCTGCGCCTCCAATTATTCCTGAGGTGAGCGAGCTATTGCGGCTACTGTCGCAGGAGGGCATGGACCTGCCTGTGGTGCCCCGGCGGGCCGGCTGGCCATGCAGGGAGCGCAGGGGGCGGTGGGTTGGCGCGGCATTGCCCCGCAAAGGGCCGAAGCCAGGCCGTTTCGGAAGTTGCTCGTGAGCGACCAGCCGGTGACGGGGTAGAACAACAGTTTCCCGCCCACACAGGTTGCTTCCTTAGGAATCCTTTCCATCAGCCGGGGTTATTTGAACGACATGCAATATATGCACTTTTTCCCCAAACAATTTACTGTGAGGGGTTCTAAATTCATTTAAAGTGACTCGCCTATTGCCAAGCCCTGGCCTGGATACCTGACGGGTTCATTTGTCTCCCTTGGGTGGACGGATTCATGTGTTCTCCGTTGTCTCCCACCCTGGATGTCTGGCACGGCTCTCCGCGCGGACAGGTTCATTTGTCTCCCTTAGTCCCTTCATTTGTCTCCCGTTGTCTTCCAGCCTGGATGCCTTCATTTGTCTCCCTTTGTCCCTTCATTTGTCTCCCGTTGTCTTCCAGCCTGGATGCCTTCATTTGTCTTCCGTTGTCTCCCAGCCTGGATGCCTGGCACGGCTCTCCGGGCGGACGAGTTCATTTGTCTCCCCTTGTCTCCCAGCTTGGATGTCTGGCACGGCTCCGGGTGGACGGGTTCATTAGTCTCCCTTTGTCTCCCTTCAGCCACAAGCTGTTGGCATGTTTGTGCTTGCCCGTCAGTCCTCAACTGTTTGGGGTCTCTGCTGGTGGAATTGTGATACCAAGCGATTCCCCTTATTAAGTGACAAATTGTTAGGGATGCCCCACTTTGGCATCATAGAGTGATTTTTTCGGCGATCAAGGGGATAGAGTGACTCGCTCGGAAAGTGACCTGCCTTGCTGTTGTTCCTTCGATGTGATAGCCGTGGTTGCGGGTTCCCGAAAACATGGCAAGTACACCAGCCACACAAGATAGAAGTTTCACAGGTTTGCACTTTGCACCGAGTCGCTTGAAATTGGCGGATTTATTGACTCATGTTGCTTCCCTTTCGACAGCAGGCCCAGACTTTCCAAAGGGTCCAAACCTTTGTCCCCTAAACAGGTCCCCGGCTCAAAGATGAGGCTTGTAGAATCTTGGAGGCAGTGGATCATCGCGGGGGGGACGTACCTGACCCTGGGCTTTTGCAATCTTAAATTCTTGTGCGAGCTGGTCTGGCTTCCTTTGTGTAGCGGTGTCCCACTACTTAGAGAACCAAATCAGCAGGTTGTCAGGAGAAGCCGGTTCCTAGGTTGATGCTAGCGGATACAGTGCGACAGAGCCGCGATCCTGCCACAATCTATTAGCTGCAGTTGTCTTGTCACGATCAGAAAAGTCAGGTTACGGCTCCAGAAGGTTCCGTCCAGCATAATTACTTCGTTTTGGTGGCTTGGAGCTTTTCTCTTCCCTGTTTGAAGAACTTTAAGCATCACAAGTTGTAGCTGAGCTTCCCTTGGGTGATGAACGGGGATGTGTCGGGAGCCCTGGTGACGAGACAGACGAGTCTCCCAGGTGCAGCAGTCCTTCGAGCAGCTGAAGCTGCACCTGGACCAGGACGCCGTGCAGGACAACTTCATGATGGCCGGGCTCGGGGGGAGAGGGTTGGGTGGGCGTCCCAACATGGCCCCCCGGTTGATTATACATTGCCCCACACCTCTAAAAGCTAAAACTGGTGGTCCGTTGGTGGGGGTGGTGCGTTTGGGGTTGGAGGGGTGGCAGCAGCAACTTCATTGATACACTGGTTTGCCGCTTTTTTGGTTTGAGTGCAAACGGACGCTCTTCATTTTGTGGGGTTTTGTGTTTGTTTCCAACTGAAACCTGAGTGTCACACGCAATTTGATGTGTGTTGTTTGTCGATCGTTAGAGCGGCCAGAAGGAAGTCGAAGAATAGGGCCGGAACGATGCGGGACTTGGACTGGCCCAAAGTTTGCTTTTGAACGAGCCACGTACATGTATATCTGTACGTCATAGTACGCATATGCATACAGCATGCATCCAGCACTCTTGGGTTGCCGCTTGAAGAAAAACATCGGACACCACTCCATGCCGCCCAGGTGGATACGAACTGTGACGACAAGCGCCTTGCCAGGGCGCTCTGGGGTGAAGTGGTGCAACTGACAGCTGGGCCCTTTGCCTGTTGGTTCTTCATTGACTTTGTTGGGTTGAAATGATTGAATGAATTCCCCATTTCCAACTTGGAAAGGACGCCCCCCACCATACAAGAATAAGCAACATTGAAGGCTTTCGGGCCTGAAGGTCTCTTGTTAGGCAATCTTTTGCAAGATGCGGAAGTTGGCACGGGCATCCCTCAAATGATTCCTGTGAAGCACTATGAATTTGCGCAGCACTATGAATTTGCGGTGATCGGTAACAGGCCATCGTTGTGTTTGATTTTGCAGGGATGAGGGCGAAGTAATGGTGCCATCATGCGTGGATGCCAGTTGTAGGAAGACTTGCCAAGATTCTAACGCGTGCGCGCTTCAAGCACGTTTTGGGCCCAGGATCGACCTGACGGCGCCTTGCCTGAATTGAGATCATGGGAGCCAGAAAAGGAACAAACTATGGTCCCAGACCGCCTCCCCCTGCTTTCTTGTTCCGTTGAAAGTCAGTCCTTGACGCAGAAGTTTCGCGTCTGTGCTTGGTCCTTGTCACGTTTGGCAGGCGCAGGCAGGAACTTGTGTTTTTGTTACGCATTTCGACTCCAGACAGTCTCTCAAAATTCAAGACCATTCCAAAAAGGTTTCCCTTGAAAACCGTCCAGGTGTTCTCTGCGTTGAGACAGGCCATGCCCATTTTGGAAAGGACGGCCCCTTCGGATTGATCAGACTCCTTGCATGATTCTATCCATTTAAATTTGGGGGGCTTCTTGCATCAATGCGGCAACCCGAATGACTCGGTCGCCCTTCAACGAAGGCGAGTGCTGGAAGGCAACGCCCTAAATTCTCAAGTGGGCGCCTTGCCTTGCCAATCTGCCAGAAGAGGCGCGGCAAGGACCAGCAGCGGGGTCTGTCTCAATGGAGCCAAGGAGTTCTTGAGCCTCATCGATAGGCTGGTGGATACCATTCTGCCGGAATCTTGGCTGCAGGGTGAGATCTTGGGACCTAGCCAGAAAGGCTGCCAGACTCCTCGGAGCCGCTCTTTGGAAGGCAACCGGGGCTTGGGTTTCATCTCCTGCAGGTCTAGGGGACACTGGATGCCCCACCGGCAGACTTGATCAGTTCACTCTGGGGCTGTTTCAGGGATCCGTGGAGCAGAGTTGTGTGGTGAGCTTTGAGTAGGCCATGTCTGAAGCACCGCACACACACACACACTTTGACGAGATTTCTTTTGCCATGGTCGCTCAGTTGATGCCAAGAGGTCCTTCAGGTTCCACATCGTGGCCTTGCAGTTGTGGTGTGTGAATTGGGTGTGGCGAGGATGCCATCTTCGACTACATGGGCTTGCAGCGTCACCAGCCACTTGCAGCGGTATCAGATTTCGGGCACCATTTGGCTCGCATGAAACAGGCGCCAACCAAGTTGCGAAGTGCAACTTCCCAAGAATTGGTCGTTTTCCAAAAACCGAAGCCGCAGGACAAGGCTAGTTTGCTTTCGGCCCCCTCCTGAACGCCATTCCAAAACGATGCACGGCGAAACCAAAACCCATCCGCGATGAAGCCTCAGCGATTCTGCAGGAATCGGGTAGGAAACTTGTGGACACATCCTGCCACCTCTTGCAAGTCCCATGCTCAATTCCATGCCAAGTCCTGCACGTTCCATGTTTAACGCTTGTTTTTGCAAGGGCTCGCCCCAATCTCTCTTAGACATACAAGTGTGAACTGTAAAATCAACGTGACCGTCCCGCAAAACAAGGAGCATGTTGTCCGCACAGCCGACGTGGAGCCATCACAATCAGCATCAGCTGCCCTATTTGCAGCGAACGTGAAATCTGTTGTTTCAGTAGAGAATTCCTGAGAAAGTAGGGCATGATTCATCATGGCTGTCGTGGTGCCTTCATGCTGATGGTGGCGATTTTCCACATGAGCGACGAGGACCTTTATGTACGTGTAAATGCTGGGCAAAAAAACACGTTTTGGTCAACATATTGACTTCGGTGCAGCACGAGGCAGGAGCACTCCCCAAAACGAGGCAGGGCCACAACCTAACTGGGCGGTTGAGATCACAAACGCAGGCGGCGCTGGAAAACGAGGTCAATGAGTCCAAAACAGATGCAGGGTTGGAGAACGAGGTGGGAACGCCCCATCATTCAACCTCGAAGCAGGAATAGCCGTTGCAGCTCACGTGCTTCCACGTGCTTCCACGTTCACTGGCATGGAAGCACGCTGTTGTCATCGCATGTTCCACGTCAGAGCCCAGGGCATTGTACGCGGAACTTGGCTGTGTTCTCCTGACATTGCCATCGTAGCTCACAAAGCCCCAATTGTGGAAGCTCCCAGGGATGCCCACTCAACCGATTCAGCAGCAGGCCGGTTTGCGCGGCGCCAAGGATCTTCCGGAATGTCATGCTGAAGGTGATTACGATCCTCACAATGTTCCTCTTTGTGTTTGTCCCTTGGCTTTTTTGTTTTGGACGGATAAGCCAAAACCGTGTAGATATGTCATGTTTGCCTACACATGTCTAGGCGTTCAGGCAGGAAACCCCTTTTCCAGTGCCAATTGACGGGTGTCCTGAAACTGTGTAGCCCTTCTTGGCTCGCGTTCACAGGAAGGCAAAGGGAAACAAGCCCTTTTAGGGGGTCCCAATAAGTTCACAAAGACACCCCAGTTGCTCACCCAGACACTGGACTTGGTGATTTCAGGACATTGCTTCAGTGGGAATGAGCAGTTTCTACCCATCCTTGATGTGAGCACCGTGAAGCTCAGACAGTTTGTAACAAAATGGGTGCCACTTGGATGAGTCCCCCGTGTCTTATATGCAGATCCCACCCGGTGGGCTTATCAATGCGTACCCCCATGCATGTCTGTCCTCTTTCCTCCCCGATTGCCAGCCAATACTACTTCAAAGGGATCCAGCTCCCCCCCCCCCCACTCCCACAAAATTAAATAATCGATAAGTTGCAAGAGCGGCTGCCAATAGTTCTGCCAATCCTAGTTCCCTTCATAGTCTTAAGGGTTGCTTTCTCAACACCGCAAACCGCACATGTCTTCTTACATGTTGTTAAACACATCAACCTTCAAGGGTAGTCGTCTTCAAGCCCACCCGCCCTAAGAATATTTCTCCCTTGATAGTCGTGCGTGAGGCCATTGAAACCTTGGAATGATCAAGCCACAGCTTCGTTGGCTGTGGGCACGGTCCCGGAGCTTACTTCAAAACGCCACGTTGTTGTTTGGGAATCTTTGCGGGCCTTCTCCAAACATGTCGGGGGCCACTGCCCGAGTTCATTTCTTGATTGCTCCCAAAGGGGCATACAATTCCCATAAGGCCACGACTGGACTTGCGACAGCTTCCGCCTTCCCCCCGAGTCTTGTAGAACTTCTTCATGAGCGCAAGCAAAATCACCCAGTTCTTCAATGGCACCATGTGGCACCATTTTCCCTTTTTTGTTTGATTAGTAAATGGGCAATCAGAAAACACGAGGAGGCTAGAAGTCTTTGTCAAGGGTCACTGGGCTGAGATGAACCCTCTCCTTTCATTGGGTGAGGTTTTCCGATAAAGCTGAGTGTAGGCATGACCCTTTCCGATGAAAGCTTGCCAGGAAATTGCATTTGCGCAGGAAACTGTCAGCCAGCAGTCATTATGGAACCCAAAGCAGGGTTTGCTTGTTGACCTCCCTGTTTTTACCCTGCAGATAAGCCTAGAACCCATCAAGCCCCCTTACTGGGGTGTGCCGTTTTCAGGCAGCCCATGTTTGCTTGTTTTTGGTACAGGTAGCCTACAGGAAGACCGAAGCCATTTTGAGGCGTCCTCTTTGTTTTCTCCGGCAAACCACCAAGCACACCCAACGAACGAGGTGTCCCTGAACGCCTTCCACGTGGATGTGGGGGAGAAGGCCGCCTCTGCTGGATCCTCCACGATCCGGGCGGCGCTCGCAGGTGGGGCGGTTTCAGGGGGCGTCTTGGGGAAATCGTTCCATGAGCCAAGGAAACGAGAAGCAGCTACCATACGGAGCCCGAAATTCTGGATACCTAGGGCTAGATGTGAGTTGCCACTGGGTGTGCCGTGTAACAACCATCAAACATCACGTTGTTCTTGTGGATATACACTTTAGCTGGGAAACATGGACTTGGGCCCGTTGCTTCCTTCTGGGTGTGTCCGAATGCTCAGGCCGTTTGGCATGGAATCTGAGGGAGGGCATGTGGCAGTATCACTTATGGGAATGCGTCAGTCGACAGAATGGGGTTCTAGTTTGGACTCATCGCAGCACGTCGAAACCTGTTAAAGAGTGTTGAATCAGCAGTATCCCAGTTGGATGTTGCTGTTCTCCTTTTCCTGCAAGCAGTCTGTGCGGATCCTCTTCCAACAGAGCCAGAAGAAGCCAAGGTATGTAATATGTAACGAGCCTCATCTAGGGTGGAGATTTGAAGGCACCTCCTGTTGGAGCCCTCGTCGGTTGGAGCGCACCCAGAAGCTTATCCATCGAAAAACAACCCATGACGACCAGAGGAAACACAACACCCTCGGGTTGTGTCGCCTTTTCAATTGTTTAAAGAATTCTGGCATTTCTCCTGGCGCAAGCGACACGGATTGCCCATTGCCACATCTTAGTGAGTGCTGAGCCGCAGAGACACATGTCAGCGCGTGAAGCCAACATGCCTGGAGAGCTCTACGAGCCATAGGCCGTTTGATTGTCCAGGGATGGCCCCGAAGTGCCAAAGGTGTCCTGTGGAGTTTGATATTGAACTGATATATATATATATACGCAAGCAACACCAATCCGCATCCATTGATCCATAGGTGAGACATGTACATGATACATGTGCGCTATAATCGTTGAAATGGAGGAACGGCGTTTGTCGGCATGTTCTCCATTTAAGGGAGCTACAAAGTTCTGCTTACAAGACCGCAAGCAAGAGGAAGATGATTGCAGCGCGGCTCCAAAATGTTCTGGAGCGGCCTAGCATCAGCACATGGAAGAACTTTCAAGGTGTTTGTCGAAAGGTGTGCGAGTGCCAGTGCAGGCAGGGCACGTAGTGTTTTACAGGCAGGACATGTTTCTCAAATGGGTGGGATGCAGCCTGGTTCCATGCCAGTCGGAGAAAATAGCGGCAACAGAAAGATAAAGCGAGAGAGAGAGAGAGAGATGGAGAGTGCAATTTTAACTTAGCCCTAGAAGCTATCGACTTGTTCTTCTCTTGTTGTACGTTTCAAGAGGATGTGTTTGCCCCCTGGCCACTTGGCAGGGCGACATTGGTATGTACTGGGCCAGGCTTGGCACTGCTCGGCTTGCGCAACGACAATTCCCCGGAGTACCTGGAGAAGCAGTACACCATTGCCAAGGACAGGGTTTGTCATGGTCCGCTTTTGTGAAGGCTCCCGCCGCATTTTTGCCCTGCCTCTTCTGGGTTGACATGATTCTGATCTTGATATCGGACAATTTGGCCAAAGCGCGATTCCTGCTGAACACAAGTGGGTGGCACCAGCTGGCCCGAATCAAGGGGTGAGAAGATATGCGCAAGGTATTACGCCCTTTGGTTGTGTGTGTTTTTTGAGGCTTGGCACGTCAAGGGTTACGCGGCAACCCTCTTCCGTGGAGGGGTGGGTTCCGCTTTTGCGTCGAAAGCAGCCCCCGAAAGGCTCCCTGAACACCCGACCGGTGTTCCCGAAGCTGGACAACCAGTAAAATAGCTGGGTTATTCAACCAACTCTAAGCTGGGCGGTCCTTCCCCAATTTGAGACCTGCCCGCCCTTGTGCCCCTTCAAGAAAAAGATCCTTTCAAATGGAGCCCCAATCTGAGGAGGAACTACTAGTTAACACAAGCCAGGTTGTTGAAATGGCACCCTTTCTCCCTTTCTGTTGGGTTCTCCAGTGCCGTGGTATACCCAAACGACTCCGAAGGTTTCACCGGCTGGGGCTCCCGTCGCGAGGAGCAGCTCTACCGCATCACTGGGGTGAGCCGATCTCAGCTAGAGGCACGGCGCCGGACTGGCGCCCTGGGCGCAGGCGATGGCGCGCGATCTCGTTCGAGCCAAGTAGTCCGCGTGGGAGATGGCAGTCGACCACGCATGGGCGTGGGTGAGTGTGCGTGTTGTTTGGTTTCGGGGGAACGCATGGAACCCCCAAAAAATCGTGAGTTGCCTGTTGCCGTGAAAAAAATGAAAAAAATAAACTCAATTTTCGGGGGGACCCATGGGGACCCCCAACAAAAACGTGAGTTTCTTGTTGGCTTCCCATTGAAACCACTTCAAAAGGGTTCCAGCAACAGAAAGACAACACATGTCCACCGAACCATCCCAAGGGTTCGACGGCATATGCCGCACAGTTGCTATATAAAGGGTCATCTCTCCGACTTTTAACCTCAGGCTAGCCAGCTTGGATTCACGCAGGACAGGTATGAGCCTGAAGAAGGTCAAATTGGATTGGGTTCTTTTGATTTCTACCCTGGTGCCAGGATTCTTAGAGCAACCTTGTAGAAGAGAACCTGGAAGAACACATGGGGGTGTGCCAGGAAATGCGCAGAACCATCTAAAATAGGATCCCTCCTGATGAACCAAGGATCACTGGCTCTTCAAAGGAGCATTCTGTAGAGCTCCATGTTAGTTGGAGAAGTGGTAGGGGGGTTTCTGATAGCGCAACTAGCGTATCTAACTTGTTCAGAAGTGGGGGCATGTCGCTTTCTCTACGCTCTCACTGATTTAAACCAAGGTCCCATTTACTTGTTTGAAGACCCCTTTGAGCGTTTCACGGAATGAGGTTTGCGCTGTGCACGATGGGTAAAAATGAGTGACAATCGAAAGGTCCCAAACCAGACCATGTCGAACCGCAGCAACCAGCAAACCGTACGGAAACCAGTCCCAACTTTCCGATGCCCGAGGGGAATCGAACGTCAAACGCCAGCGAGGCGCTGCCGGCGCCGGATTCGGCAAGCGCTTCGCCAGGCCCAGACGACGGGAAAAAATCGATGATCCGAAGCGCAAGAAACCAGACCAATCCCCAGAGGTGCATCGATTTGTTTTAAGGTTTGCGCCTTTCTTTCTTGCCCCACACACGCCACTTGCAGCATGATGCGGTTTTCCGTTTTCCCCGAGCTAGCACGGTTTCGACAAGGGTTTTGCTTCAGATTTCGGGCTGCCCTGCTTTTCAGGACATGTCTCAGTTGTTCAGTGGCACCCTTTTTCCTTTTTCTTTTTTTTGTTTGGTGGTGGCTGCCCCAAAAAGGGTTCCTTTTTTTTCCCCCACAGGCACTGAACAACTGAGATGTTGATCCGAGGTTACATGCTTCCGGCGCAAACCCGAGGCAGCCTTTTGTGGGGTTTCCTTTCTTTCGGCGTCGGAGCGGCCTTCGTTTTCGCTTCTCCGGCAGGCGCGGCGGTGGAGGAGGCGGTATGCTGGGCAAGGAGGATGAGGACGACGATGGGGGCGACATGGACTAGTCGCACCTTGCGACCGGAAAAGTAGAGATCCTGGATTGATAGCTTGGGTCCTCTTCAATCAATCTAGCTAGTTGTTTCCCAAGGGCCTCGGCGAATTAATATGTTCAGACCGAGAACCATGGCAGCCGCACATGAATCAGAGCAAGTTTGGGGGGAGCAGAGTTGCTTCACCGAGGCTTGATAATGTCTTTAATTCGAGCACGCTGCGTCGCCTGCCGCCTCTAAGGCATGAACGTGCAGAGCGATCAAACGGTGCGCGCTGTCTTCTTTTTCTGGCTTCCATTGGATGGGCGTGTGAAACTCCGGAGTCTGGGCCAAAGCTCACCCAAGGCTTCAGGAAGCTAGGGAACCTTAGGAAAAATGGATATGTGTACATGAATGGCTTTGGATTCATGTCCCACTAGTTTCCTCAGCGACCCTGACATGCCCAAAGGAGGTGAGGGCAGCGCCTTATCTCCGAAGCCGGCGCTGGATGCGAGAAAACACGTGGCTCGAAGCTTTGGGATGGCGCCTGGGGAAAAGCCCCGGGCCTTGTGACCGGACCAATGCCCCGCGGAATTTGCGGGGATTCGCCGGATCCCGAACTAGGTCCCCCAGTAGTGCCCTTTGACCCTTTTCTGGGAAAAGGGTTCTCCTACTTTTAAAATAGACTACAGAACAAAAAGGGTACCCTTATTCTAACCTCTCTGGAGGACCTAGCAGATAGACTTGGAGGACTTTGATCGACGGTAGCTTACTGTCTGCTTGGACTTTCAGCGTGCGCCTCCTCGGATCGCAAGTGTAGCAAAGGCCAAAAGCCGAGGTGGGTGGCAAGGCTCGGCTATCGCTTGGAAGCACAAGGTGCCACGGGCAGTTCAAGGGTGGCGAAAAACTCAATGTCTAGTTTGGTGCAAGTGAGTATACAACGGTAATTTGTTAACACGTATGTTATTGTTTTGAGGGGTTAGGGGTCAAAGTACCTCCTTTCGACAAAAGGGCATGGCGCCATGCGGTAGGGTGAATGGAGGGCAGGTGTTTGCCTTCTGCTCGTGATGAGGTGTTCCTCCGACAGCTTGTCGAGCGCCAGCTGATCGATCTTTTGAACATCGTTGACGTTGTTCAACGATGGCCGGGTCTAGAATTTATCGTTCAACTTGCAGCTACCGAGCAATTCAGGCGTTCAGGGTTGCGCAAACCGGTCGGTTTCCAGTCGGTGTCCGGTTGGTTTCGAGGTCGGTTACCAGTTGGCTTCCAAAACTCAGCGCACTTGGAACCCACGCTCAGCGTTACATGTTCACGCCAATGGCTGTTGCTGATGAGGCCCTCCGTGGGCTCCACAGTTAGCCTGAGTCATGATCAAACATCCCAACTGAGAACAATGATTGGGTTGAATGTCAAAGCTGAAGCCCCAGGACAGTCCTTTGACACTGTTAACTTTGCAAGGCAAACCAAAGCAAATGAGCGCTCTTTGCGTTCTTTCGAGTGCTTCTTGCCACAAAAGTATCCCCTACAAACAACCGGGCTTTTTTGGTCCCGAATCATTTTAGGCGTGGTAGCCTACCACGTCTCCTTGACAATTTCAAGCACAACTAGCTTCTAGCCAACTATAGGTTGCCTCCAAATGGATGACCCTTTGACTTGACTGGGTTGAAATAAAGGGAGTTTTCAACTAATTCCACAAGTTCTTCATTCTTTGCAGAGGGGTCGTTACAGCAACCAAGTTGAAGCTGCATGATTCTTGGGAACCGAAGAAACCACGGGTTCCAGCGCCTTCCTAGCGCCATTTCTGCGCCCAGGAGGCCAAGGGCGGCGGGGTCTTCAGCTTCCAAGTCCACCTCAGCCAGCGGCCCAATGGCCCGGGGAAATGGGAGGAAGATTTTGGTTGGGCAGTGGCCTCGTCACCATATGACTACATGCATGCACGCAGCATTGCACGCACGTTTGCATGCACGCACGTATGCATGCATACGTGCATACGTGCATCCATGCCATATGCAATGTGTATATATATATATATATGTGTGCGCATGTATTGGCTGTGTAAAGACACACCGATACATACATGTCTTCTCCAGCGTTCGCGCTGGAGAGCTGGCTGGTTGGTCGATTCCTTCTGGAGAAGCCATTTGAACTTGGCTTGATGTTGTTTGTTGGAATTGAGTGGAGCCCTTGATTTGTAGAAGTTTTCTTTTAGAGGCCCCTTTGTTTTCCAACCATAAGGCAAACCCTGTTGGCTCTCATTGGCTCGTATGTACCATGTGTTTCAATAATTTTGCTCCCACGCATGGATGACGCCGAGTGGTTGTTCACCAATGCCCTGGGTACAGCAATGCAAAGAGCAGGGGCCCGGCACATTTGCAAGGGTTTAGGCCAGTTTAGGCCCCATTTGTCGCCCCTGGTGCATTCCAATGAAGGGGGTGGGGGTACCTTATTTTTATCAAGGGTCCTGCCACTTTCAGCCAGAGTCCTCATGGATTCGAGGCCCTCTGAAACAAAGGAGACCCCACTCCAAATGAAGCCCCAGGTCCCTTGGAGATCGGCCAATCTCCGGCGACTTCAGCTTCCCGACTCAGGCGAAAGCAGCAGCAGTGGCCTTGGCTTGGCGCTGGACGCGCGGTGCCCCGGGGCCTCGACGTTTTCGGAAGCCCAGCGCCAGCCTTGAGGGAAGACGACGCAAGCAGTGTGAGCGTAGTATTGGTGTGCAAGGTGCACTTACAGCACCCAATGCGTTACAGGCCCATACAATCCACCAGGCAAAGGTGCAAGCCCGGAACCAGCTTGAACAAAACGGTTGGCGGCTGAGAGGAAATGGTGGGACGAGTCCATGGCATGAGAAAGAGATGTTACCCGTCGCTTCGCTCATCCATTGGATGCATCTGTTGGAACCTTTCTATAGCTTGTACTATCTGTCTTTTCATATTTATTTTCCTTAATGTCTAGATTATTAACCAGGCTCCCGCCTGCTGCCGCCGACCCTCGGCGCATTAAGGGAAAAGTCACAAGGACCGGTCCTGAAACACGTCCGCAAACCCGGGGACCACTTAGAAGATCCTCTACGACCACAAACAAGGATTAACGGAAAAGTCAGAAATAGGGCAGCTAGTCCGTTAATTACCGCTTGGGCCGGCTTGCGCCCAAGTCACTTCGAGTTGGCGCCTCTCCCGGGGTCGCCCTGAAACTGGCCCTCCCGAAGTTGCCCTGGACCGGTCGCCGGCAGGGACCGGGACTTGGGACCCTATCCAGGCTGGTCCCAGTCTGGCGCGGTTTGACTCGACGTCTTGGACTCTCTTGCAGAATGGATCCAGGGATCCTCTACTACCACAAGGATTAACGGAAAAGTCAGACAGATGACAGCTCCGTCAATAACCGCACGGGCCGGTTTGTGCCGAAGTCACGTTGAGCTGGTCCTAGAAACAAGGCTGTTGGTCCCCCTCAACTGGTCGCAGTCAGTGACGACCTGGGACCCTGTCCAGCGTCCTGGGTGCCAGTCCGGAAAGGTCGCACCACAACAATTTGAAGTACCAGCGGTCACACCAGGACTCGATCCCGGGACCGGCTTCCCAGACTGGTCCCAGGACCGGTCCCAGTCCTGGGACCGGTCCCAGGACCAGTCCCGGAAGTCCTGGGACCGGTCCTGGGACCAGTCCCAGGACCAGTCCAGGACCAAACCCCGGTCCTGGGATTGGTCCTGGGACCAGTCCCAGGACTGGTCCCGGGACCGGTCCTGGGACCGGTCCCGGGACTGACTGCAAGTAATCTGAAACAGCAGAAGCAGGGTCCCAGGACCAGTCCCAGGACCGGTCCCAGGACTGGTCCCAGGACTGGTCCCAGGACCGGTCCCGGGACCGGTCCCGGGACCGGTCCTGGGAATCCACTTTTTGTGGGTTCGGGCGTGCTTCCCAGGGACTATCATTGATTCCAATCACTTTCAGTTGCATCCCACGCCGGGCCCCTCTGCAGGAGGCTGGGACGGGAGGCAGAGGGTCGGCGGATTTGCTTTTCCTTTTGTTTGTGGGTTATGTTTGTAGGTTAGTTCAGGACCTTCCCAGCCGGGTAAACGATGGAACCCGAGGGAAGGATTCTTCAGACACCCAACTAAAGATAATGGGATTATTAGGGGAGAGACAGTCCTTTCGGTAACTCAAGCAACACGAAAGAGAGCCAGATATTAATGCCGGCAGGAGCCATCTTTTCTATCTTTAATGTCAATATGTTTAAAAGGGTTGAAGTGGCATAGGGAATAGCTGTTAATTGGCTTTATAGTTGGGTTTCTCTTCTTTTCATCTTTTATTGTTCTTCCTCTTCTTTTACTTTTTTTTCATGTCTTTATCTTATTATCTTTGCTTTTGTATACTTCTTTCATCATCAACAGAGAGAGACAGCACGCCTGGCGCGGCTTGAGGGGGCCCGCCGCCGGGAAGCTCAAGGGTTTTGGGGCTGACGAAGTACGAGATATCTCGGGAAACATATGACACCCTTGTGCTCCACTTGTGATACTTTGGACAGCGTTCTTCGCGCCATATTTGTCCTTCACGTTGTCCATCCCAACTGGCACAGGGCGTTAGGATAGTGACTGTCCGCAAAAGTTGAGAGGGTTTCAAGGCCCCCCTGCCCCCTCCCCCGCCCGGCAATCGATTTCCCATTTTGGGGATCCCCGATTTGGAGGCAAACGCAGAAAGGCCATGCGGCAGATGAGGCCTCAGATGTGCAGCTCTGCCTGGTCATAGGCATCAAGGCCTGGACGGCCCAAAGCCCAGGGAGTGCTTGCGTTGGTTGGTCTCCCAGGCCAAGGCGTGCAGAGACCAACCGCCATCCCGGAAACTGTGGGGATATGACGCGGGTGATAAAATTCCCAAGTGTGGCATGATTGGGGGTTCACATGCTTGGTCTCAACGTCTCGTGTAGGCTTGCATGGACCAAAGCGGGGGGGGTGATACATTCGCACATGCCATTCGGGCTTTGGGAACCCTAAGAAAGGATCCGAGTTTCCAGAGTTGCACCGTACCATCGCACCAAAATGAGGATCGTTTGGAAGAGTTCATCTTTTCCGCAGGCTAAATCGGTATGGAGCAAATGTTGGGGTGCCTGAAGGATACGATTCCACTCCCAGCACGGA